CCCCCGGCCCCACACTTTGCCCTTTACCTTTTAGAATTTCTAAGCGTGATGTCGGCAGCCTGCTCAGGCACGCACACCTTGATTTTGAAATGGAATTGAATGGAAATGTCTCAAGTCATTCAGTGGCTGGTGTGGCTCAGTGGTTGAGCCATTAACCTATGAACCAGGAGGTCACGGTGGGATTCCCGATCAGGGCACTTGCCCGGGTTGGTGTGCAGGAGGCAGCCGATCAAGGATCCTCTCTCATCATTGATGTTTCCGTCTCTCTCTCTCCCTTCCTCTCTGAAATCAACAAAAATGTATTTAAAAAAATAAAATAAACAGAAAGGTGAGGATGGGATCCTGATACTGTTCTTGGCCAAATTCTTGGAGGGAAAGTTTCAGGCAAAAGAAACGAAATTGCTGAGCTTCAGATGATTGGCTGCTGACCAGGGACACCTCTGTGAGCCGTGACCCCTGTGTGCCCTCCCCGTCTCCACCGTTGGCAGGAAATGCGGCAACCCAGCGACTCTCTACCCTTCCTCTTTTCTCTGCGATTTTGCAGCATTTGAGTTCGTCAGTGGTCCTTGGAGGAAAGTAAGGAAAGAAAAAAAAAAAACCCTTAAAAAAAGTAGATTTGGCCCTGGCTGGTTTGGCTCAGTGTATAGAGCGTCAGCCTGCGGACTGAAGGGTCCCAGGTTCGATTCCGGTCAGGGCACATTCCCGGGTTGCGGGCTCGATCCCCAGTGGGGGGCGTGCAGGAGGCAGCCGATCCATGCTTCTCTGTCATCATTGATGTTTCTATCTCTTCCTTTCCCTTCCTCTCTGAAATCAATAAAAAAAAATCAATAAAAATACATTTTTTAAAAATAGCGGATTGAACGTTTCTATGCCTATGTCACTGGGAAGCGTGTTCCTGTTGCTTCTCGTTCGGATGCCGTGGTCTGGTCTCCAGGGGGTGCCGTCAGGGGTTCTAGGCGAGCGGCGTCCTGAAACCTCACTCTGTGGGTCATGGCCGTCGACACTGTTACCTCCATTCAGCACAGAGGAAGCCGACACTGGGAGAATGAACGCAACCCTCCCGGGGGAGTTATGTCAGGTGGTAGCTGTTCAGTCCGAACGGTGCCCCTGGGCAGCGCTGCTTGTGTGGCAAACGCTTCCTCTGGGCGGCCACCCCGTGGCCCTGCTCAAGCCGCTGCGGACGGTCATCGGGTTTCTTGGATGAGCTTCAAGGAGCAATTAGTTAATTTTGTGTCGAGTGTCTCATTAGCAGGCTCTGTGTTATTGTGTCAAAATCCACAGGACATGAAGGGCGCCCTCCCCACACAGGAACAGGCTGTAGTTTTCCGTGATTTGTGCTGTTTCTCACGTTCCTTCATTTTCTCAGCGCCTCTTGCCATCCCCCGTACTCGGTTCCACACAAATATGTAATTTCCTCCACACGACTCCCTCCTCAGACGTTCACGTCCACCCAAGGCCGGTTCGCCTCTTGTATCTCCGTGTTCACTTTTCAACACTCTCCGTGATCCTCGCCAAAGTAACTTAAATTCCATGGTGACATTCTCTTTGCTTATTTATTTATTTTTATGTGTCTTTATTGATTTCAGAGAGGAAGGGGGAGGGAGAGAGAGACAGAAACATCAGTGATGGGAGAGAATCACGGATCGGCTGCCTCCCGCACGCCCCACACTGGGGACGGAGCCCGCAACCCGGGCCTGTGCCCTGACTAGGAATCGAACCCTGACCTCCTGGTTCAGAGGTCGATGCTCAGCCACTGAGCCAGGCCGGCCAGGCACATGCTGACATTTTAGACCAAGAACTTGATTCCTCGGCTCCCTCCCCCCAGGACCTCGCAGTCAGGACCTGCAGACTCACACTCTCCGTCCATGTGGTCCCACCGTGTCTGTCCGTCGTGCTGCAGCCGAGGGTAGGCTGCACACGGAGTATCACAGGGGGACTCGGCGACACCCACGTGCGTCCGTCCGATCGCTGCCCTCATGCCTGGACCGGGCAGTGTGAGATTTCCCTTCTCCCATCGTCACTCACAAGTGACCCCCCACGCAGCGGGGAGCCTGTGTGGCCCTCACTCGCCTGCTGCGATGAAACGTTCCCGTGACGGGCACCAGCGTCCAGGCTCCGCTCTAGAGACAGGGTGGCGAGGGCGGATGCCCGTCTGATCGTTCTCTCGGGGACGGTTCTCGCTGAAGGGAAGCGAGGCCGATTTCTCGCAGAGTCGGGGGCCGGGAGGAGGGCCGGCATTGGGGTGCGCCCGCGGGTGCGCTTCGCTGGGCGCGTCTGCTGTGAGTCTGGGGGTCCAGGTGGGGTCCGGGCAGGTTCCCAGGCCGTGTCCACGCAGCCAGCGCTGAGCACTAGCTGGCCTGGCAGAGGCCTCCCCACGAAATGGAATTGAAACCAAGTAAACGTGACAATGGATGCATGCCCTATGAAGACTGCCCATGGAGAACGCCGGCCTGGAGAGGGCTTTTATGAATATTCCCTGCACCCACAGAGGGCCTCTGGGAGCAGGACCTCCAGGGGCTGAGAGCCGTGCGCCCGAGGGCCCCTGCCCCTTCTGCATCTAAGTTCAGGGGGGACCCAGATCGCCTGGAGGGGTGGGCGGGAGGCGGGCACGGAAGGTGATGTGGTGAGAGCTCGGAGGGGGTGCCCTGAGGCCTGGGGGGCCTTCCCCAGGGCCACCCTGGAGGGCGGGAGCCGGGGCGGCCGGGCTGGGGCTCAGGTGCCTTTGCACCGCCTCTGCTCTGTGCCCTGCTCACGCCCCTCCCTCTGGTTCCAGCATGTTCCTCCTGGTGGGCGCGCCCAAGGCCAACACCACGCAGCCGGGCGTCGTGGAGGGCGGCCAGGTCCTCAGGTGCGACTGGGCGTCCCAGCGGCGGTGCCAGCCCATCGAGTTCGACGCCACAGGTAAGCGCCGGCGCCAGGCCCTGGCCACGCGCTGCCGGTGGATTTTTTAGGAATATTGATTTTTGAGAGTGCTTGCTTTAACGTAACTGTAAAATTCTAATAAAATAAGATACGTAGCCCTGGCTGCTGTGGCTCAGTGGGTAGAGCAGCGGCCTGCGGACTGAAGGGTCCCGGATTCGATTCCGGTCAAAGACACACGCCCAGGTTGTGGGCTCGATCCTCAATAGGGAGCGTGCAGGGGGCAGCCGATCCATGATTCTCTCATCATTGGTGTGTCTCTCTCTCCCTCGCCCTTCCTCTCTGAAATCAATAAAAAAAATAAGTTTTGCATTTAGATCAGTGAAATAAGGTGGAGGGTGTTCCCCCAAGTGTAACAGCTTTAACAGCTGACGGCTCAGTGGATGTTTCCTTCTTCTCAGATGTAACCTGTTGGAATTAGTCATTATTCATTTACATTTACGTTTTATACACTGTGGGGGCTTGCCCTGTGTATGATCCTGCACGCACCCGTGTTGGCATGTTTGTGTATGATCCTGCACGCACGCGTGTTGGCGTGTTTGTGCACGATCCTGCACGCACCCATGTTGGCGTGTTTGTGTATGATCCTGCACGCACCCGTGTTGGCGTGTTCGTGTACGTCTGTGAAAGCGTAGAAGCCCCAGAGAAGCGGAGTGACGCTCTCCAGGTGCAGGGGTTTGACCCTTTTCTTCAGATGCTCCCGGTTCGCCGGCTGAGTTAGGAGGTTAGGAGAAGTTGGGGAGGTGAGTGCCTTTTCCGCATTGTCACTTCCTGCTCGTCCTAAACCGTGTTCGCTCCGGGAACGGCAGTGTCGGTGACACGGAACCGTGACGTGGCCGTTTGTTCCATTCGCCGTCGTGACCGGCGCCAGAGTGGGTGTCAGTCATCAGACCGGCCCAAGGGCAGCGGTCACGTGCCCGGTTTTTCCGTGTGAGCCGTCTGCACGAGGCCCTGCTGTTTCCACACGCGGCTGACATGGGGAACCCCAAAAGGGCCCAACCGGCCCAGGCTTTCCTCAAAGGGAGGAAGACCTGTGAGGCTGCGTGACACGGGTCGGGGCTTTTGCATCTTCTAGCTCAGTGTACGATGACTAGCAGGATGAGCTGTTGTTCATTTGTGACTGATGGTATCACAACTGGAAGGGAGAGGGAGAGAGAGAAATATCAGTGATGAGAGAGAATCATGGACCGGCTGCCTCCTGCACGCCCCACACCGGGGATTGAGCCCACAACCCGGGCCTGTGCCCTGAGCGGGAATCGAACCCTGACCCCCTGGATCCTAAGTCGATGTTCAACCCCTGAGCCACGCCGGCTGGGCTCGCCTTTCCTGTTCTACCGGCCGAAGGGACTCATGACCGAGTGGCTATGCGGCTGGATAGCACTGCTTCCTGCTTCTGCCCACACGGCGCCCGGAGGGTCAATCGTCTTTAGACGGAGCAGCTGCAGGCAGACGGGCAGCACCACTGGGCGGGCTGGGTGTTGGGCGTTGGCGAGTCCGAGAGCTGAGCCAGGAGAGGCGCCCTGATGGTTGTGGGGCCAACATTGGAAGCTTGTAACTGTGGGAAGTCCTTTCTTCCCTCCTTCCCTTTTTTTTCTTTTTTTAATCCTCAGCCCAGGATATTTTCCCGTTGATTTTTGGGGAGTGTGTGTGGAAGGAGAGGGAAAGGCAGAGAGAAACATCGATGTGAGAGAGAGACATGGTGTGGTTGCCTCCTACACGCACCCCAGGCAGGGCCCAGGCCGGGGCGGAGCCTGCAGCCCAGGCATGTGCCCTCAGCCGGAATCAAACCCGGGACCCTTTGGACCGCAGGCCGACGCTCTATCCACTGGGCCACACCGGCTCGGGCTTCCTTTTCTGTGCAATGACACTGTGTCTCCCGAGGTGGTCGGTGCAGAATGAGACCCGTGGGGAGTGGCCGGCCGCCCGGCGTCAGTGAGCCCGTCCTGTGTTACCAGGTGACGCACTCGTGCCGTTAGTTGCTTTTTTAACACTTGCAATGTTTTGCCAAAATTTTCTTAGGATCCTTTGGGGGTCGAACGACCCTTTCACAGGGGTCGCCTAAGACCATCGGAAAACACATGTATGATGACATATTGTTTTTGTGAGTAATCACTATGCTTTAATTATGTTCAATTTGCAACAATGAAATTGGGGGTCACCACACCATGAGGGACTGTGTTAAAGGGTCGCGGCGTCAGGGAGGTTGAGAACCGCTGCTTTAAAGCCTCTTTCTGGGCCACGCTGACCTGACACGTCCCCCCTTTTTAAGGCGAAACATCGACTTGGCTTTAGAACAAAAGCCGTCAGCAAAGCGTTTTGTCTTGAGCTGTTAGATGCTTTCAGGAGCATTTCCGTCTCCTCACTGGGGAACAAGCCAGCATTGGTGGGCGGGGGCGCTCTCAAAGGGCCTGTGTTCTCCGCTGCTCAGCCGAACCTCACGCACTCGCTGGACTCCATGAATGCACAGACGCACACCCGTCCCCGCTCATGGCCTTCATCGTGCCTCCTCCTGGCTCTGCTGTTCTCACTCCTCCTCTTTGCTTTTGGAAAAAGTTATATCTAATTTTATTTTTTTAATTAATTGATTTAAAAATATATCTTTTTGATTTCAGAGAGGAAGGGAGAGGGAGAGAGAGACAGAAACATCAATGATGAGAGAGAACCATTGATCAGCTGCCCCCTGCACGCCCCACACTGGGGACCGAGCCTGCACCCTGGGCACATGCCCTGCCCGGGAACCGAGCCCTGGCCTCCTGGTTCGTCGGTCGATGCTCAACCACCGAGCCACACCGGCCGGGCTCAACTCGACGTTTGAAAGTGATAAAATATGTCAGTTTATGTGATGGGGACGTGTCTTCTCGTCTCCCTATTGTGGGAAATACTGTTTAATTATCTGGAACAGTGGTCGGCAAACTCATCAGTCAGCGGAGCCAAATGTCAACAGCACTTCTTCAAAACAGACTCGCCCAGGCCGAACACCGACTTCTGCGCATGGGCCACGAAGTTTCAATCGCACTGTACGTGCGCCCACACGTGGTATTTTGTGGAAGAGCCACATTCAAGGGGCCAAAGAGCCGCGTGTGGCTCGCGAGCCGCGGTTTGCCGACCACAGATCTGGAAGATCTAAGGAAACGGTCCGAGGGGTTTTACAGAATGATGCGCAGAAGTCGGGGTTCTTTCTTGTCTGGGGCCTGGGACCATGTCCTCCCACGGGCACTTCTGCCTTGACCGCATCCCATTTCTCGGGGAGCCCGGGGCCTGGGCCATGCAGCCTGCGGAGCCGGTGCACTCGCCCTGGGGGCCTCAGGGCGTGACTGTGTCTTCACTTCCCTCCCGCCCCGGGCGTGGCTCCTGCTG